CCGCCGAAGACTGCTGCCTCAGCCCCCGTCCCCGTCCCCCGCCCTTTCCTCAGAAGATGCAGAACCGGCTGACCTCTTACCGCACCCAGGGGCCCCAGACGGGATGCCTGCGGGAGGCTATTGTGTGAGTAGATGCCTGTGGGGAGAAGGGAGGGGCTGCCTGGGCACGGGGGGCCCTGGCGTTGGCAGCATGGTGGTGCGGGGCCTGGTTCCTGTGATCCCCTCAGTGCCCCCACGGTCCGTGTTGGGGAGACGGTGAATCTTCTGAATGAATTAGATGGCACTTCTCACTCACTTGAGCTGCGGCGGCTCAAGTGGTTAAGACGCTGAACTGCAGGCTATGGAAGGTTGGTAGTTCAGCAGTTCGAGACCCGAGTGTGCCGCAGTGACGGAGTGAGCTCCTGTCTCTAGTTCCAGCTCCTGCCAGCCTAGCAGCTCGAAAGCAAGAAAATGCAAGTAGATAAAGAGGTACCACTTCAGTGGGAAGGGAACAGTGTTCCGTGCACCTCGGTGTTTAGTCATGCCGACCACATGACCACGGAAACGTCTTCAGACAGCGCTGGCTCTTTGACTTGGGAACGGAGATGAGCACCGCAACCCCAGAGTCGGACTCGACTGGCTTTCGAGCAAGGGAGACCTTTACCTCTCACTCACAAGAATGGCTCAGGCTTGTTCCCCTTGTGCTGACGCTGCCTCCCCCTCCTTCATCAGTTTCCCCCTTGCTCAGGGGCTCTGCACGCCGCCTTTTCCCCCTGCCCCACCTTACCCCTACCAGACACAACCCAAACATCCCAGGAAAACCAACTGCATGCATTCCTGGGCTCCCTGCCTGCCCCCCCCCCCAGAGTCAAAGATCTTCCCTCTTTTGAAGGACGTGGGTGACTCTGCAGTGGCCCCAAAGGGCAGGATCCTTATATGCTGGCAAGTCAGAAGCCGCCACCACTGTGTCAGATCATCCAAGTATGTTGACTTGCTAATTTTTCCTGTGTAAAGTATTCCATTGAATAAAATGTGTCGTGGACCTTATTACCACACCAACAACCCTGCGGGGTAGGCGGCTGTCATTCCCATGAGGCAGTAAGGACAGTAACTTGCCAGGGACTCCACGGTGTGTCTGCGGCAAAAGCCTGCTTCCGAGTCTCCCGATCCCGTATCCCAGTCTCAGTCCACAGAATCACATAGGGACCAAGTTTTATTTATTTATTTATTTATAGTCAAATTTATACTCCGCCCTCCCCGCAAAGCAGGCTCAGGGCAGCGTCCAACAGCAAATACAACAATACAGAATAAAAGCATAAATAATACAGAATTAAAACACAACATTTAAATTAGTACATTATGAAATTGTGAGTTCAGGGGCACCTTCCCCCCCTTTTTCCTAATTATTTTATTAAATTTTAACGGAAAAATTCAAAATGGAAGAGAAAGAAATATCAATATTTCATCAACCATTAAAAGGTTCATATAGATCTTGTTAAGATTAAGGGCATAAGAATAGCAAATATAATTTAAAAGTATACTACTTAACTATAAAATCTATATCAACATGTGTCAAACATAACAGTGATATCATTCCTTTGGAACTTCCTTCTGATTAGAAAGATAATATTGGGGAGCCAGTTTGGTGTCGTGGTTAAGTGCGCGGACTCTAATCTGGGAGAACCGGGTTTGATTCCCCACTCCTCCACTTGCACCTGCTGGATGACCTTCGGCAAGCTGTAGTTCTGATAAGACCTGTCCTTGAAAAAGAGCAGTTTCTGTCAGAGTTCTCTCAGCCCCACCTACCTCACAGAGTGTCTGTTGTGGGGAGGGGAAGGGAAAGGAAGTTTGTAAGCCACTCTGAGATTCCAAGTGCAGGGTGGGGTATAAATCCAATCTCTTCTCGTCTTCTTCTTACCCAAGAGTGCAGGAAGCCCCATAGGAGCCAGTTTGGTGTCGTGGTTAAGTGCGCGGACTCTAATCTGGGAGAACCGGGTTTGATCCCCCACTCCTCCACTTGCAGCTGCTGGTGTGACCTTGGGCAAGCCGTAGTTCTGATAAGAGCTGTCCTTAAAAAAGAGCAGTTTCTGTCAAGAGCTCTCTCAGCCCCACCTACCTCACAGAGTGTCTGTTGTGGGGAGGGGAAGGGAAAAGAGTTTTCAAGCCGCTCTGAGATGAGTGAAGGATGGGGTATAAATCCAGTTCTTCTTCAAATTTTCTTAAACCCTAAGAGGGCTCTAGTTGATGTCATTTGATTCACATTAAAGTAAGTCTAGCTAGAACATAGGGTTTCCCTAGTCGTGTGTGCCACATCTATAGAGTTGGGGCAGTGGAGACTTTCCAGCAGCCGATAAAAGGATCGCAATCACATTAGTTATCCATTCCATTGAGGTTGACCCTTATTCCAATTTGCTACTAATAGGAGCCAGGGGCACCTGTAAGACCAACGAAGCTTTGCTCAAGGTATCACTAGCTTTCATGCGCATACCCAGAATTAAGCTTTGTGAGTCTTCAAGGTGCCCCTGGACTCAAACTTTGTTTTGCTGCTTCAGGCCAACACGGCCACCTACTTGAAGCTGTGTCAAGAACGGTTGCATTACCTGAAAGCTCCAGTCAGCATTGGCAGGAAGATTTTGTTTACTTGGTCTGTAAAAGGTAAAGGTTCCCTTGCTCGAAAGCCAGTCGAGTCCGACTCTAGGGTTGCGGTGCTCATCTCCGTTTCAAAGCCAAAGAGCCAGCGCTGTCCGAAGACGTTTCCCTGGTCATGTGGCCGGCATGACTAAACACCAAGGCGCACGGAACGCTGTTACCTTCCCACCAAAGTGGTACCTATTTATCTACTTGCAATTTCTTGCTTTCGAACTGCTAGGTTGGCAGGAGCTGGAACTAGAGACGGGAGCTCACTCCGTCATGCGGCACACTCGGGTCTTGAACTGCTGAACTACTGACCTTCCACAGCCTGCAGTTCAGCGTCTTAACCACTTGAGCCACCGCAGCTTCCTTACTTGGTCTGAGGCTACTGCAAAAGTGAACTATCAGAAGGGGGAGAGGGGGGAGGCGCAAGGCGCATGGGGGAAACCTGGAAGCTGACCCAGTTGTAGGCCTACATTTAATGGGACAAAGAGCAAGTAGCCAGGAAACACAGAGGAGTCCCCAGATACCCCAAAGCCCTGTGTAGGCGCAGCATTGGATCCCCTGGCACCTCTTAGAGCCCAGTTTTCCCACAAATGTTGTAGGGCTCTCTTCCAGCTATGCTCCTGCAGAGTGCAGGGGGTTGGACTAGGTGACCTGCAAGGTCCCTTCCAACTCTAACATTCTATGAGTCTATGATTCTTCTTTCCATCCACTGGGCTAGACAGGATGCAAAACGGCAAGCTTCCGCGTTCTGTGCGCACGGCCGTGCTTCCGACTGCTGTGCCCGCCCAAAGGTGTCGCGGCTGGCGAATTGGCGCCTGCTGAGGGCGTTGTGGTGACCATTGTTTCCTTCTCCTGGTTCAGATTCATTACCAAGAAGGGGAAAGAGCTGTGCATCTCCCCAGATGCGGATTGGGCTCCAGAACTCATGAGGAAAATAGACGCGAGGAACAGGAGTGCAAGAGCAAACCGCCAGGGTGCCTGAGGTAGGCATGGAGCAGACAGCCGTTGTTCATCCCTGCAGAGTTCCTGGAGGGAGGGGTGTGTGTCCCAGGAGGGCTTGAGCTTGCCAGAGGTAGGGAGCGATGAGGGGCAGCCGCGGTCAGTGTGTGGTCAGATGGGAGACCACCCAGGAAGACGGGGGTTGCGGTGCAGAGGAAGGCAATGGATAGAACCACCTCTGTTCCTCTCCTGCCCGGAAGGGGGCATCATTTTTATTCATTTTGTTTGCTTCATTCATATCCCATCTTTCTCCCCCATGGGGCCCCAAGGTGGCCTACAAAACTCTCCTCCATTTTATCGGCACAACAGCCCTGTGAAGGAGGCAAGGCCGAGAATGTGGGACTGGCCCAAGGTCACCCAATCAGCCCTTATGGCAGAGTGGAGATTCAAACCTGCGTCTCCTGGATCCCAGTCCAACCCTCTAACCACTACACCATGAGTTGGTTGCGACTCAACAACATGTCCTCCTTCTTTTCCCCTGGTGCCTAAAGCTTAGCAAGCCTGGCATCGATATATTCGTTTAGTTGCTGTAGATTTTCTGGGTTGTCTGGCCGTGGTCTTGGCATTGTAGAACCTGACGTTTCGCCAGTAGCCGTGACTGGCATCCTCTGAGGTATAACACAGAAAGATGGAGTACTCTCTGTGTCAAGGTGAGAAGAAAACTGGTAGGCAGGTAATTTATATCTACTCCGGAAGGTGGGGTAGGGGTGAGTCTTCTGGAGTAGATATAAATTACCTGCCTACCAGTTTTCTTCTCACCTTGACACAGAGAGTACTCCATCTTTCTGTGTTATACCTCAGAGGATGCCAGTCACAGCTGCTGGTGAAACATCAGGTCCTACAGTGCCAAGACCATAGCCAGACAGCCCGGAAAATTTACAACAGCTAATGAACTCCTGCCATGAAAGCATTTGTTTGGGGTCTTACAGCACTTAAAACAAAATCATAATAAATGTTGAAAAATACAACAAAATAAAAAAAGACATCTGAAATCATTAAAATATATGAGTCAGCACGATGCTGCTGGCCCAAAATATCAGGTTAACCTTCAGAGGCCGACTTGAATGATTCAGCCTTACAAGTCCTGTGGAAACCAAGCAAGCCCTGGAGGGCACAGGTGTCAAGCGAACTGCTGTTGGGTGGGTGTCCAAAGATTTTAAGGTGCTAACACAGAGGAGGTCCTGCCTCTGGCCACCACCCACCTTTCCTTGCATGATCAACCTATGTTGCTTTCTGTGCTATGCTGAAATGGGTCCAATAATACACATATAATAACACACCTACAATAATTCACATGCACATGAATAGTAATAGTAAACATACACATGAAGCTGCCTTACACCGAATCGAGAGCCAGGTTGGTGTTGTGGTTAAGTGCGCGGACTCTAATCTGGGAGAACCGGGTTTGATTCCCCTACTCCTCCACTTGCACCTGCTGATGTGACCTTGGGTCAGTCACAAGCTCTGGCACAGCTGTCCTTGAAAAAGAGCCGTTTGTGTCAGAGTTCTCTCAGCCCCACCTACCTCACAGGGTGTCTGTTGTGGGGAGGGGAGGGGAAAGGAGTTTGTAAGCCGCTCTGAGACTCCAAGTGAAGGGCGGGGTATAAATCCAATCTCTTCTTCTCTTCTTCTTCTTCTTCATCCTTGGACTATCAAGGTCAGTATTGTCTACTGAGACTGGCAGCCGCTCTCCAGGGTCTCTGGCGGAGGTCTTTCACATTGCTTACTGCTTGGTCCTTTTAACTGGAGATGCCGGGGACTGAACCTGGGACCTTCTGCCTGCAAAGCAGAGGCTCCACCACTCAGCCACGGCCCCTCCCAGGCAGAAGAACATACGCATGAACACACAAAGTGGCATTATACTGAATCAGACCCTTGGTCCATCAAACTCAGACCGGCAGCGGCTCTCCCGAGTCTCAGGTGGAGGTCTTTCACATCACCTCCTGCCCGATCCTTTCAGCTGGATCTGCTGGGGATTGAACCCGGGAACTTTGGCAAGCAAAGCAGAGGCTCTGCCACTGAGCCATGATGACCCGTCTCCTCATTTGTCAAGCTCTACCACTGAGCCATGGCCCCTCTCCTCATTTGTCAGATATTATCAGTGCTTCAGATATGGCCACTGCTTCTAAAAATGTCCATATTTTCTCTTCCAGGACTGCTAGTGTAAGATCCCAGCCATGGCGACTGACCGAATGGATGTCCCAAGAAATCCCACTACCACGAATGGGATGACAGACTGCCCTCCTCCTCATGTATCACCTTTCCTGCTTTCACCTGCCTGCCTGGGGCGAGAGAGACCTCTCCAGCCCTTTCTCCGGATCACCCGTGCACATGTCCATCCAGCCCAGAGTTTAAGCCTCCTTTTTTATCCCTTAGACTTGAAATGTCGGTGTGTTCATTCCCAGATTAGAACCCCCTGAGCGGGTCAGGATCCAGGCACTCAGCCTCCCGTCCCCAGCCTGTGGAGGGAACCTTTGAGCCTCCGGGATCTCGTACCCAGAAAAGGCCTTAATTTAGGTCCCAGAACCAATGTTCCCTCTAAGCTGTGGAGTCTTGTGAGCAAAAATTCTACTTTGTGAGCTACAGGCATTAACATTGTGAGCAAGCAATTTGGCTGCTGCATAAATTAGTTGGCTCTGGAGCCCTCCTTCCTGAGCTAAGACCAAAATGTGCGAGCAGGAGGCTAAAAAACTGTGAGCTAGCTCACGCCAACTCAGCTTAGAGGGTACACTGCTCAGAACATGCGCAGAGTGCATTCCTCTTACCACCAAACAGCCGCAGCCCAATCCCTGCACACCTGGGGAAGGGGGTGATTTCTGGGCAGGTTTTGGGCCCCGGCACCTGACATGTCCTTCAAGATGGCAGCTTTCCTTTTCCGGTCGTAGGCAATCGGAGTTATTATATGTATATATTTACAAAAACTGTGAAAAAACGTCTAGTGTGAATTTGTGACTATCTGAAATGTAGTGGATGTTGCAAAGTGAGGATGGGGGGGGGTTCCTTTCCACTGTGATGGGGGGCAGCTACTATTTCAACACCCAACATGTTTCCACGGGGAATAGATGCAAGTTTCTGCTGGCGCATGGCTTCCCAGGCCTCTCTCAACATAAGCAATTCTAGCTGTGGGAATTAGGAACGGGAAAGTCGCTACAGGCCTCTTGTTCTGTGCGTTGATCTCTAGCATGCAAGCTGTAAACTGCACTGCTTGGGTCTGTTGTGAAAAAGCCTGATATTTTATACCGCTTAATAAAAGTACTTATTTCTTACAAGACACTTCCAGTTGCCTCTTTTCTCCCTCAGCCATTAGAGCCCGCCCCAAACTTTGGAGAACAGTTGACTTCTGAATGTGGGGATCCGATCCTGCTTTCCCCAGGCCTGCTCTGGGTCCCTCCCTGTTACAGTGGACAGTTTCTATGTCACAAAAGGGCCACAGAAAAGAGAGAGGAAGAGAATTCAGGGTATCCAGAAGTGGCCGGGCGGGACCCTGACGGTTTCCATGTGGGGGAGGGTAGATTGGCTTGAGGCCTGAGGAGGAGCAGCCAACTCAGAGGGTCTTTTTGCCCTGGAAGAAGCTTGCTTAGGAGCAGCCCCGTAGCTAGGGACTTTTTTGGGAGGGGGCCATGGGGGGGCCGACAGCTAATTTAATCAAGAGTTCCAGGTAACCCTCCGGCAGCAGGCCGTGTGCACTCTTGGCCACTTTGCCAGGTGGGGGGTGGTGGTCAAGGGAGGTGGCGGTGGGTGTCCTCCACTCCCCCCCCCCCCCCCCCCG